AAAACAGTTAAAAAGAATTAGATTTGTTTATTTTTTTTTAAGAGGGTTGAGGTGAAAAGAAACTTTACAAAGGGGACAAAATGAATGGCAACGAATCCACTCATCAATACAGATACAGTGAAAATAATGTTTACATGGAAGAAGCTTCATTGACTCATTTTCACTAAAAGGTTCCATACAAATTGGACATTCATTGTAATGATATTTTGTAGTTGAGTTATGTTTAATTACAGGAAAATTAAAGTGATAATTTATTTCATCCTCACTGAATGATAACTCTTCAAATAGGTCAATAAAATGTGGAGGAGATGTTGTTACTTGAATACATTCCCAGAGGTCAATCAATGCAATAACAGACATTGAGAGTTTTAAATAAGTCATTCCATCAATATCAATGGATAATAACAATATCATAGTTGATAAATAAAAATGGGATATTCTTTCCATTGAGGTTAAAAAAACACATGTTTGTAATGATGGAAGACATAAAATAATCGTAAGTATTACAATTAGTCCTTTGCATAAAGACCAAAAATATATGAGATATATTTTAGATGAAAAGACTGATGGTGTTTCGAGAATAATTTCGGAGATGATAATAATCATTTCAAGAACTTTTATTGTGACGTTTGTGATAATGTCAATTGTTGAATCTATTATATCTATTTGATATAACATTAAATATACTTCCTCCTGAGAAAAGTTTAAAAGAAGCAGAATGATACAAGAAATACATGAAATGAAAAGACAGAGATAAATAGTCTCAATATAAATGTCATATTTAAACTCTTTAAGTAATTGAATAAATTCATCTTTTTATTCATCTATTCTGTTGTTTGAATTGTTGTTGTGAATAATTACATTATACATCAATTACAAGAATATTTACGAATATGGTTATGACCCATTGTAGTTTGATAATTACTGAATTGAGACTAATTTATCTTTAGAATCTATTATTTTATATTATGTAATGTAATACTTTATCAATAAACGTTATATCTAATTCTTAACACAATATCTATTCATTGAATATAATCAAGTTACATTTTAACTGAATAAGAACAATCAATGTAAATTATGAGATTTTATTATTAATGTTTACTTTAAAGATATAAAAATAAAAAACAGCATATATCATATAACTAACAAATAAAAATGGTTATTTATAAACTAATAAATATGTGACTGGTTGTAAACAACATGCTATTTTTTTAATTTCATTTATTATTGTAGAACAAGAGCTTTATCAGATTATTCTAATAATTAGAATAAATACTAATGTTAGTCAATTTGAATTGATGTCTTTATTCTGAAAACTACTTTGTAATTAATAAAGAATTGTTAGAGACAATAAGTAAGTCAAATGTTAATAAGTAATATTAGGGGGGTCTTTCATACTTTCATAATAAACAAAGTCACCTCTTTTTGTTCATTGAGTCTATAACATCTTTAGAATTACTGAACCAATATTAGTATTAGCAAACATAACAACAACCTCTTTTAAAATGAGTATTGTTGAATTTAACGCAATACAATAAACTAAATTTTCATGTTTTTTATTTATCAGAATTAATTCAAAACATAGAAAACACAGTAACAGGGTCATTTAAATATGTTATAAGTTAATGTACCATACAATAAGAGATGAGGATTAGTGATGTAAAATTTATAATTAATAAAGAAAAAAAGAGATAGAAAAATATAATAAAAAATAATAAATTGAGAGAAATGGATAAATGACGAGTAACTAGAACTGTAAAAACATAGCAAAGAAAAATGTCAGCAAACCGAATGAGACAAAGAAGAATTGCCCAAGAGACAAAAAACATATTAACAAATCCACCTTCTGGGATTAAAGTAACTATTGATGAAAATAACTTAGATTATTGGAAAGCAATTATTGATGGACCACCAGACACTCCATATGAAGGAGGTAAATTTGCATTAGATGTCTTTCTTCCAGAGAATTATCCATACAACCCACCAATAATCAAATTTGCTACTAAGGTTTATCACCCTAATATTTCATTTTTTGGAAAGATTTGTTTGGATACATTAAAACCTCAAGGATGGGTATGTGCAATGCAAATCTCATCTGTTTTACAAACAATCCAACAATTATTAGCTAATCCCAATTTAGAAGACCCATTGAATTTAGAAGTTAATAATTTATGGTTGTCTAATCCTGCACAAGCCAAAAGTAATGCTCGTGATTATACACAAAAATATGCACATGCCCAATAATTGAATATCTTTATTATAGGCATTTCTTTTTTTCTTATTTTCATTTACCAAATATACATAATATGACAAATATAATTTGAATTAACCAATGTTGTTCATGAAAACAAACACTAACAATACCACAGTAATATCTCTCTAATTCTCTTGATATAATATACAATTAATTGGAAATATATGATGAGACTTTTTTTCAAACATTGTGATTCGTTCATCATATCATTTGATTTATCTGTTAATATTTGGCTCTTCTCTCTATCTCAATTAATTTTTTTTCTATTGTCTTTGTTCTTTTCAAGTTTAACATAATCAAAATATGAAAAAATAGGAATGTCACCTCTACTTATTTTTCATTTCATTCTTTAATTTTAATTGAATTGAATATCCTGTTAGTGTATTTTAAAGCTATCAAATTTTATAGCAGTGCTTATAGTTTTTTTTT